GCCCCGCCCCGCCCGAGAGCGGCGCCGTGCGCCCCCGACGCCCGCGCCTGGCCACAGCGCCCCCTGCCGCCTTGGAGGAGCGGCCGGCGCAGCCGTGGTCCGCGCTCCCGGGGACCGGCTGGGGTTTCGGGTCCTACGGTCCACCCGGGGGTGAGCCACACTGTGCTTTGTCCAGGGAACTCACCAGTTCAGCTCCCCTCTGTTCGGCCTTTGCTTGTTTCGCTTCCCTGTATTCGTCATGCACTGAGGTACTCACTGCAAGGAGTACTAAGTTGAGTGCCACACTTATGGTGCGGTTGTCGTGGTGCAAGCACTTGGGCAAAGGAAGGGCCAGATACGGTTCCCTCGCAGACTCCATCACGGTGAGGGAGAGGAACAGCGCTGCTCTGTTGCTAGTGAAACCCCGGTGCAACCTTGTTAGCACAATTTGCCTGTGAGTTCAAACCCATGAATTTATGCATTTTTTTCAGGTGTCTTTTTGGTTGTTTGTTTTTGTATCTTCCGACAGGGTCTACAGGATCTACAGGGTCTTACAGCGTAGATCAGACTCTTAGTGATCCTCCTGTTTGCAGCCTCCCACGTGCGGGGATTACAGGCGCGCACCACCTCCAGTCTCAATTGCTGTCCCAGCACGCCCAAGGGCGGGGCCGGCAGGCAGGCCGGGGGTGAACTCCAGGCCCGGGCATCTGCCTGAGCAGGTGCTTTAATCCGCTGAGCTATTTGGCCGGCCCCAGATGTCAGTTTTTGATCATCTACTTCGTACAGCTTTTGCTACCCGGAAGACTTAAGTTGGAGCTGGCCCCGAACTCAAGCGGGTTAAGATACACCCTGCACCTTCGAGTGGCCTATTTTTCCCACAGATTTGCGGTGTAGAGCCGTAGCACAAGTTCTAGGCCCCAAAAGACGCAGCAAACTTCGTCGAAAGGGGCTCCTGGGGGCTCTGTGTCAACGGAGGGGCAGTAGAAAGTTTCGGAAATCAATTAGCATCGTTTTTGGATTCATTGAAAATAGAAAAATGGGTCTTGGTTGTATTCAAGAAAAGTCTTTAAAATCATCTTTTCCAGGCTCTTCCCCTCTTCTTCCCCACTGCTCCACACTCTCGCTACTCTCTTTCTCGTGACTTTCCCAACTCTCAGGTTCCCTCATTGCCTCTCCTGCTGCTGCTCTGCATTGATTTCTCCTCAGTAACCCACTTCGCTTTCCACTGTGGATCAGGTCTGCAGTCTTTTTTTTTTTTTTTTAATCTTTATTTACATACTTATTTATTTTGTATATGGTCTCATTACGCAGCTCAGACTCAGAGTGATCCTCCTGTCTCAGCCTCCTGTGCTGGGATTACAGGCATGCATGACCATGCCCAGTTTTGTTGGCTGACTGAGCAAAGTGCTATCCAAGGTATGTGGTACCAGGGATCGGGTTCTTGCGCTCACCAGGCAGGTGCTTGGACCACCGAGCTTCTCCCCGGCCCAGGTCTGCAGTCTACTTTTTCCTTCTACTCCCTCATTCCTGTGCCAAACTGAAGTCTTTAATCAAAAACAGGCTTCCTTTTCTGAAAAGGGGACCAGGAGAATGTGCCATCTTTCTTTCTTTCTTTTTCTCTTCTTCTTGATGACTCAGTTGTAATGTTTAAATATATTTTTAAAAATCTTTTTTTTTTTTT